CCGCCGTGAACGGGGAGAAGGGGGGAGACGGCGATGGGGAAAAAGCCCCGCTCCGGCAGCTCGTGCAACACCTCCCGCAAAGGTGACACCAGCTTCCTCTCGTGACGACAGATGCAGCAGCAGACTCGTGCCCTTCAGAAACAGCTTTTATTTTAGAACCTTGTTAATTCACCAGAAACACAAGACTTGCCCAAATCAGCACAAACCATGGAGTCTCCTAAACTCGGGGCGAGGGCACGCCGTGGTCAGAGATGCTCCGGCTGCCGGGACGAAGAGCGAAGCGAGTGGTATGATGCAACCCTGGTGTAGTGAAATAGCCGGATAGTAGGATGCGCTTGTCGTCGGCCTGATTCACAACACCAGCTGCAGCACCGATACCGGGGCCGTCAGGCGCTGGCAGCAGCAGAGGAGAGCTCAGCGGCGTGTCCCTCCGCTTCCCCGGCGCGTTCCCTCGCCTCCAGCCGATCCCCCGGTTCAGTCTGGCCATTAAATGCATCAAACGGACCCAAATCGAGTGCGACACTTTACATGCGTCCTCTATTTAAAGTTTGCCCAAGTGCTACATTCTGGCAGGTTTTCAATGAGGGCTGAATCGTTCTGCTTCCATCCCCGTGGAAAAGGGAACCTACCGCCCTGGGTGCCGCCGGCCACGCAAACGACGCCGGGGCCACGCGAACAACACAGGGGCTCAGCGCCGCAAAGGCAGCGCGCCCAGCAGGACTCCATCTCTCGGCACTGCAAGGGGAGAAGCCTGGGAAGAGAAAATTATGATGGTTATCCAGGCAACTGCTGGCACCCTTACCCAATGGGGACAATAGGATCATCTCCTCTTCCTGACATCATTTCCAGCTTTAGATCCAGACAGAAAGAGTACAAAAGTGCTGGTGCAGGGACACAGACAGTGACAGGATTTAAGCCCTGTCCCACCCTGGGGATGCAGAACTGGAATTAACAATATGCCTTGTTTTACTCCAGCCCAGAAGGAAAACAGCTTGCTTGTGTAAGAGGCTGGGGTTTATTTAGGTTGGGGAGACAAGTGTCTAGAGGGTAATAACAAAAAACCTGATTAAATTAATTTTTTCTGAACACAATTCCTTCGATTCCTGCAAAGAACAGGGTCCAAGCGCTGCGTCGCTGTCCCAGGCAAACGCAGCAGCGGTCAGTTGCTGTGGTGAACAGAGGAGCCACCTCGCGTAGCAGGTGCGCTCCAGCCAGAGGGTCTGGAAAACAGAACATAAAGTCAGAATCTGCAGCCCGTGAGGAAAACCCAAGGAAAGGCAGAGGGGTAGGAACTTATGTCACAAGCTGTAACCTGACTGTACACCCAGCTGAGCCAAGCGCACACAGGGGTAGGAGCACAGGCACCGCTGCAAAGGACTAATGTGGGAATAAAAAAAATAATAATAAAAAAAATTAGAAACACCAAAGAAACTGAGCTGAGAAGGCAAGACTCACTGACACCAGCTCTGCAGCAGCGTTTAGGACAGGCCCTCGAGGGGCCACGTGTTAATTCTCACCTGATCCCACTGCCTTCCGTCAGCTCCGTTCAGTTTTCACCAATAGCCCACAGTTAATCCCTGGGCAAAGATGTTTTTTCCTCCTCCTACCAGACGGGTAAGACAGGGCTAAAGTTGACAATGAGTATTTATAATTTCCCCTGTAGAAACTTGTCTGCTGGCAGCCGTGCAGGCTGTAGAGCCCCAAGAGCTGCTACGCCGACACCGCGGGCCTCCGGGGGGT